ATTAATTTTTGATTAAATACAATTATTATTTTTTATTTTCTTAAAAAAAATCAAGTAAAAGTTTAGCTCTCATCTAATTTTTGTTGTAGTGATTAAAAAATTATAAAAAAAATTTACTGATCTAAATTTATATAATACTATTTGCTATAAAAATTTTAAAACTATATCTTTTTAATTTAAAAAGTTAGAGGGGGTGGGATACTTATAACTTTGACTGTATATTTTTAATTTAAAAAAATATTCTAAATTTTTTTTAATACAATATTTATTAAACTTGTCAATATTTAAAAATATTTATATTAATTTATTAAAAGCTTAATATAAAAGACTTTGATTATTTTTATCAATACTTTTATAATAATTTTAGAATTACCTTTTATAAAAAAGAAAAATATTAATAATATTTGTTCAATGTTTTTTCAAAATCTAATCTACTTCTTATTTAACAAAAAATCTTAGATTATATAAGATTACTTATTTTTTTCAAACTCTTATCTTCATCTTTGTAATTACTTATCTTTGTAACAAATATTATATTAAATTTATTTTAAACTCTAATATAAATTATATTCAAGTTACTAAATTTACTACTATTCATATTAGCAATAACTTCAAAAAATCTAATAAATCTAGCCAACAAGTTATGTTTAATTTTTTTTATTTGCTAACAATATTTTTTTATCTTCTATACCTAATATATATTACTATATTTATTCAAAATACTTTGTTCCAATTGATTGTACTAAGAAAAATAAGTATTATTATTTTACTAAAAATATATTACTAAAAATAATAAAGTCTATCATCTTATCTACATAATCATCTTATTTCAACACAAAACTAACTTATCTTAAACTAAGAAAATCTTATTTAAATCTTTTAAACTACTAATCCTATTACTGTCTTTTTTTACCAAATCTTTTTAACTGTTTCTGATCTACTAATCCTATTACTGCCTTTTTTTACCAAATCTTTTTAACTGTTTCTGATCTTATTAATTTTTTCTTTCTATAACTACTAATACTAATCATGTCTTTAACTAACTTTTAATTATATAAAGAATTAGGTTAATAATAACAAGATCTAATGTATAGAACAGATTATAGTATTCTTTGCAACTGTATAAGCTGAACATATAGTAAGCAACTTTATAGAAGATAATTTACTTTTCTTAAATACTATCTTATTTAACTTTTTTGAGAAATATATAAACTCTACTAACCTACTAGATAAAACTTCTAACTAGAATAAATTAATTATTATTATATTAATTTTTGATATAACAAGTTTTTTTAATACTACAAACTTTCTCTTCTTTTAACATTACAATACATATCTATATTTATTTACATATCTTTTGATTCTTTTTTATTAACAACTATCTTGAAAAATTAGTTCTAATATTTTTTAAATATAATATAAATAAAGTTTATATTTATCTTTCTTATAAACTCAAATTTTTTGCTTAAATATTTTTTTTTGTTATTATAATACTTTGCAGCCAACCTTTTAGGTTATACATTATTGGAATTCTCTTTTAATATATAAGTTTTCTTTATACTATAATCTTTAAACAGTTTATTTCTTTCTACCTCTAATTATCTTTTATATACAAGTTTCAAACTATTTAATCTATTAATCTGTATACATAATATACAAAGTTTTAATAAAGATTTAAAACAATAAATTTAAGAAAATTTTGACTTACCAATAATTTCAAAATTATTAGCATTACAAAAACTAAAATAGCTGTAAATAATATTATAATCAAACTTTAAAAATTTAAATACTTTATTTATCCTTGGTTTTGTATAGATAATCCTGATCAAATACTGCTATTATAATTTATAAATACTATGTAATAATTTCCACTTTAGATTACTATTATAAAATATTATTATATAATGAATTCAACAAGTCATTACTTTAAACATATAATTATCTTAGGTAATTTTAATATATTTGATTATTTTACCCAATCTTCTTTAATTAAATATAAACTACTTCACTTTTTTTAATATAATAACTTATATAATTTAATTAGTTATATATAATTCTCTATATCTATATAGTAAAGCAGCAGATAAAATAGTAATATCAAATATATCTATTTAACCAATCTCTTCTTCATTATTCTAACTTTTTTAGTATTAAAGACCCTAATACTAGTATTCAAAATGATCACAAAATTCTTATCTTCTTGTAATATAAGTTACATCACAAAAAAAAGAGTTCTAATTCTGACTTAACATAATGTAATCCTGGGTTAAGGTATAAGAAGAGATAAGAGTTAGTAAAAGAACAGATTTAAGACTCAAAAGAAGCTAGTACTTACCTATAGACAAGAACCTACTAGTCAAATATAATATGCTTATTTCAACTTCAGATGTTCTTAAACACCTTACTTAATATAATTAGCTAGTAAAAGAGGTAATGCTCAAACACTACAATCAATTGAAATAAATATTGTAATCAATACTTGGCTTAACTTTTTTTATTTTTTAATCAATTACCATTATGGCTTCAAGAAAAAAAAAAGTGATTATATAATTATTAAAACTTTAGTTTTTAAACCTTTAATATCTAAAACTTTAACAAATAAAACTTTGCTTTCAGCTATCTGTTCTTTTAACAATTTTATGAATAACTTATTATTACAACAGCAGCTATATTTGGCTATACAGTTATGGCAACAATTATATTGAGCAATACAGCTTTATAACAATAAAGATTTTTTATTATTAAATGAAGCAAAATTAAAATCTAATAAAGAAATAATAATTAATATTATTATTATTATTTTTTTTAAATAAATATCTATATGGTATATAAAAATATATTTTTTTTATAAACTTTATTTTTGTAACCATCATTTACTACTAGCTATGATTGAGAAAATTTATATTTATTTGGTTCCATAGCAGTTGAACTACAACTATTATTTACTACCAGCCATAATTGAAAAATTTTATTATTATTTAAATCCGTAACTGTTGAACCAAACACTTCTTCTACCTCTTCTAATGTTCTTGATCTAGTTTCTACTTCAGAAAAATTATCAAACCAGTAGACTTCATCTGAAACACAAATGCTTATTGAAGAAATAAAAAAATAACAACAGGCATTGCAGCAGACAAGAGATCTAAGAGCAAAATTATTATTAATATATAATTTTTTGAAGTTACAAGTCTAGTTTTAAAGGAATATACAAAAATATCAATTTAACAAAAATAGAATTCACTTTTCCAAAAATATTATGATATTAAGAACAAGATTGCAAGCACCAGTATCCAAAACAATTAAAAATTTTTTAATAATATAGATGATTATTTAAGAGATAATTCTAATGTTATTGCACTAATTATAAGTGATTCAATTTATGGAATAAAGCATTAAAGTATCAAAAATCAAAAAAAAAAGATAAAAAAATATATTTTATATTTATTTATTTATTTATTTAAAATAACTTAATGTTACAATTTATAGAAAGATACTAAGAAATAAAGAAATATGTATATGAAAAGGAAAGAACAAATATTAAAAAATTATGCAATTTAATTAAAGAAAGACTGATGTTATTATGAAGATGATAAAAAAGCAATATGATTGTACTTCTGAAATGCAGAAAAAGTAATATGAAGAACAAAAAAATATTTTCAAACAGTTCTTATTAAAATTTTAATTGCAATTATTATATAAATTAAGTACAATTGTTATATAAATTAAATATAATTGTAAATTTAAATATGTATGTAATATAATATATAAATAATTTTTTTATAAATATTAGCTAAATATTTTTTTTTAAATGCCTGCTGTCTCTTGTGTTTTGTTTATTGCTTCAAATTCTGTTTCAAATTCTGTTTTATTTTCTATTTTTTTATTTATTTCTTTATTCATATTAATATTCTCTAAAGACAACTTATCTCTTATATTAATACAAAAAATTATGTAGAATATAATATGCATAGATTATCTTTATAATTTTTTCTATATCAATACAATAGATTTTCTTTAATAAAATTCTTTACTTTCTCTTAAACACTCAAATACTTGCTATATAACTATTTGTATTAATAAAAGAACTTTATTAAAATTCTATTTATGATGTATTAACATATAATAATCAGGATAAGTTTTCATTAAATATGTTTGCAGAAAATATGCTACATCTGCAATAATATATATACTACCTAAAACCCATTGTTCCAAATGTAAAAAAATTTCCTAATATAGAGAAAATTGATAGAATACATAAGCATTATGTATACTTCTTATAATAAAAAATTAATATATGTTTATTAAAAAAAATAATAAATAAATAAATAAATAAATAAATAAATACTAATATATTTCTCCAACATGTATATAGGTAAAACACCCTTGATAATTGACAACTCCAAGAAAATTAATAGAATAGAAACTTTTACAATTGATATAACATGACCTATTTTTGAAAGATACATGAATAGGTATGTAGAACCCATCTATTGCACCAATAACATTAGGCAACTTGCAATTTTCAAATCCAGTTTCTTTATATTCAAATCTTTGTATTACTGTTGCTAATCATGATTCTTGTAATTATAAAATCTGTTCTTGTTCCAAATCTAATAAAACTCTCAAAAATTGATTAGTAAAATATCTTACATACCTTTGGCTTATACCAAGTGTCTGTTCTAAGACTCATATTCCAACACCATTTGCTAATCACCATAATACAACTACAATTTGTTTCCATACAGGTATTACATTAATAGCATTTGATATAAAAGCTGAATGTGTTTCTAAATGAGAAACAATGACATAAAAAATAACATGAGTAATTCTAAAGTGTTGTTGAAAAGAATTATAACCATTCTCATCTATTAAATATGGAAAGACATTTGTCTAAAACCTTCTAGTTTTAGAACTTCACTAAATTTGCATCCTTATATTAGGTGAAGAAAAACCTGATGGAATAGTTATATTCATTATAATATAATAATAAACTAGAAGGTAATATGTATTTATTCTTTGAGTATTAAATTCTGAATGTCTTTTATTTATTATAAGAATTTTTAACATGAAAAGTAACATAATATTTTTTTGATAGCAATGATGGTCTTGTTGAAGATCCATGTTATGAAAACAATAATAACAATAAAATGAAAGCTTAAGCAATCTCTTTGATTGCTCTATCAATGATAAATTTTAGCCAATCAGCACAGCTCTATGAAAAAAAATTGGTAGTCACAGCTCCAGGTTTTTTTGACCTAAGTAATAATCACGATCAATTTTTTATTCGATTTCCAACTAATTAAAATTTTACCTCCGATCCATTGATGGAAGTGCTTGAGAACACCCTTAGTTGTCATAGGTTACGTGTGAGTTGAATTAGATTAGCAACAGACTCGCCAATTTCCGAACGAACAATATAAATAATATATGCTATTAAGTATATATATATAAACTTTAATTTTCTTTAATACCTTTCTATTCTTACTGGTTTTACTATTTTTTACTAATTTTACTACCTATTTCCAGTTTTGCTACCTATTAGCAATTTCGCCATTTTAAATTTTTTTTGCCGAAATTCGAAACTAGTTCCACCTTTCGTCTGTGTCAAAACTCTTAGGTTTCGCCTGCCAACACTAGCTAGAACTAATTAATTTAATTGCTTAAATAATTATTATATTTATAATTTAAATTTGTTAATTGTTAAAGAACAAAACACTTTGTGTTTGCGATAAGCAATAAAACTTTTTCATAATACAATTTAAATTTAGATTTGTAATGCTTGATAGTCTGGTCTTAAACGGTATGTAAAATTCAATTCTCAAAGAATTTAATATAAATTGACGGTTATCCAACATAGCTCTTGAAAACATAAATTTTGTACACTATCACAAAGATTAATTAAATAATAGAAAATAACTTTGATTTACGAGGCAAGGAAATAAACAATCCATTTTTAAAGTTCTGTAACGATTTAATGACTATTGTTTACGATATGGCAAATTTAAAGAACGAATGAACTACACTCTATCCTCGTTATAGCGGACCCGTTAAAACGGATCCCCGGGTGGTGCTCATTTCGCCGACAATCACTTCAACGACAGCCTATTTCACCGACA